CCCAACGCCCGAGGCCAGCAGCAGCAATCCGGCGCGGGTGGCATCGGAACCCAGTTGGTCCTTGGCGAAGGCAGGAATCACCTGCAGGTGGGACATCCCGAATCCGCCAAAGGAGCAGGCCAGCACAATCACCGTCAGCAGTACCGGAGTGTTCTTGATGGCTGCGAAACCGTTGACGAAGTTCCGCACCAATGGCTCGCGGGCCGCTGATACCGCCTTGAATGAGCCGCCGATGGGCAGGATGCACAGGACGCTCAACCCGTAAAAGGCGGCGTTAGCAGCCAAGCCCGCACCCAACCCCCACACGTCCGCGTACTGCGAGATCAGCGGTGGGCCGTCGATGAGCACCCCGGCCAGCGGAGGGCCGATTATCCGGCCGATGTGGACCGCGGCGTTGAACTGGGCCACGGCATCCAGCAGGTTGGACTGTCCCGACCAGGTCGGACAGAATTGTCACCCGCGCCGGCTGGTTCAGGGCCTGAAGCACGCCCAGAAGTGCCACGGCGAGGTACACGTGCCAGAGGGTGACAGCCTCCGCCCAGGTCAGCACAGCCACCACGGCAATCAGCACGCCAACACCCAACTGCGTGGCCATCAGCAGCAGCTTGCGGTCAATCCGGTCGGCTATGACCCCGCCGAAGGGCAGCAGTATGGTGTTGGGATGCCGTACAGAAAGACGACGAGGCCCAGTTGCTGGATGGAGGACCCGGTCAGCTCCAGCACCAGCCATCCGAGCACCAGGAACTGCATTCCCTGTGCCACCGACTGGGAGAAGGACCCCAGCCAGAACCATCGGAACCCGACGAAGCGCCACGGCCCCTTTGACCTGGTCCAATAGGATGGCCTCGCAGATGTGGGGGATGCGCTCGCTACCAACCCGGGGCTCTCACCAGGGGCGTCTCCGTCGATCGTGTGGAAGCAGGCCATCCGGCGTATCCGAACCTGTGCGGCCCACCGGAAATCCGCTGACAGTGTACCTGCATCGGGCTGCGAGTGCGCGACCGGCGGCCCATCACGCGGCAGCCGGATGCGCAGCCAGTTCGCGCCCCGTCCTGCGCCCCAGGCCGTAGGACAGCGTTATCAGCAGGCAGACCCCCGCCGCGCCGGTTATCGCCAGAGGCCAGCCGATCCCCTGCAGCGGCCAAGGTCAGGGGCCATGCCCCCAGGAAGTGGAAGCCCGGGACGAGGTGGATCACTCCCATCACCCGTCCGCCCGCAGCTCCGCCGGAGTCGACAGTTGCGTAATTGTGGTTGTCAGCGGCCACACCCAGCCGATGGCCACCACCCCCACCAGCAGGGCAAACACCCAGGTCACCCAGAACCAGCCGGCCCAGGATGTCCGGGTCAGATCATCGAGAGATCCGCTCCAGGCAAACAGCGTCAGCAGCACGGTAAACGTCACGAGGCAGAACAGCAGCCAGCGGTACAGCCAGGCCCGGTGCATGAACGTCAGCGTCATGCTGCCAATGAGGGCTCCTATGCCTGAACCCAGCAGCAGCAGTCCCACCTCGGACGCGCCGCTGCCGAGTTGGTCCTTGGCAAAGGCGGGTATCACCTGCAGGTGCGCCATTCCGAACCCGCCAAAGAAGCAGGTCATCACCAGGACTGTCATCAGCATCGGAGTATCGCGGATGACTGCAGCCCTTCCCCGACATGGCGCAACAGCGGCTGGCGGGCCGTCTCAGGGCGGCTGTACGTCCCGCGGACCATGGCCAGCAGGAGAACGCTGGCCCCGTAGCACGCAGCGTTCAGCACCAGCACCACGACCGATGCCCCACTGGTCGATCATACACCCCGGCCACGGGCGGGCCGACAATCCTGCCCGCGTGCTGTGCCGCGTTGAACTGCGCTACGGCGTCCAGCAGTCTGCCCTCACCCACCAGGTCCGCAAGCATCGCCAGCCTTGCGGGCATATTCAACGCCTGCAAAACTCCCAGCAATGCCGCCGCCGATAGGTAGATGTGCCACAGCGCCACGTTTTCCGTGATGGTGAGCACGGCCAGCACGCCAATCAAGGCTCCCACCATCGCCTGTGTCACCATCAGGAGCAGCTTGCGGTCCATCCGGTCGGCGATGACGCCGCCAGCCATCAGGAACGCGATGTTGGGCAAGCCGTATAGGGACACCGTCAGCCCAAGCTGGGTCTTGTCGTCGGTGACCTCCAGCACCAGCCATCCCAGGACCAGGAACTGCATTCCCTGGGACATGGCCTGGGCCAGCGACCCGGCCCAATACCAGCGGAAGGATGCTCCTGCCAAGGCCCTGATATCCGGCTCCACCGGGAAGGTGAGACCGGGGAGGATGGCGCGTCTGCTACCAATGGAGGGTTCTCATTGACGATCTGTTCCGTTCAAGGCAACGTCTTTACTCGAGGCGCGGCAAAGGCCGGAGCTCTAGTCGGGGATCCCCATGCTCACACTGCGATAGCTGCCTTCAATGGCGCGGGTCTGGTGGCCCTGGCCGGTCATGTCCTCGGCCAGCAGCACGTCGCCTGGCTGGAACTGGCGGGTTGAACCGTCGCCGCAGATGACCTTCCATCTGTCCCTCCAGCACGATCAGGAACTGGCGGCGCGTGGGGGGGTGCCAGTCGCTGAAGCTGTTCTCGGCCGAGCGGCGGAAGACCAGGTCCTCCCCGGGCTTTGTCGCTATCCGCAGCACGTCCTCGCTGGACATTCCAATGTCCTCGAAGTGAGACTGGCCGTCGTCGCCTGTGTAGATGCGTACCAGCATTTCAATTCCTCAATCAGGATTGGCCCATGCACGGTAGTCTGGCATGGGTGCAGGGGCCAGTATAATCTACAGCACAAGAAACGTTGGGAGTCATTCCTTTCGCCCATTCCGTCTCTGGAAAAGGCAGACGGACTGATTCCCGTAGAGGTGATTGCTGTATGAGTCGACTGGAAGGCAGGACGGCCCTGGTGACCGGATCCGGGCACAACGAGCCGGAGGGCCTCGCCCTCAGCTGGCGGCGACGCCCACGTCGTGTCAACTCCCGCTCCAACCAGGAGGAGGCCGAGTCGGTGGCCGAGGAGGCCCGCGCCCTCGGAGTCGGCCGCGCACGTGCTTCCGACCGTCTCCGACCGCGAGCAGGTTGAGGCAATGTTTGCCGCCGCATCCGAGCGGTTCGGCAGGGTGGACGTGCTGGTCAGCAACGCTGCCATCCGCCCTCACAAGCCCTTTACCGAGCTGTCCATCGATGACTGGGAGCGGGTGCGCGGCGTGGTGCTGGACGGAGCGTTCTACTGCGCCCGAAACGCCATCCCGGCCATGCAGGCCAACGGCTTCGGCCGCATCGTGTTCCTCACCGGCGACGGCGCCTGGAACGGCTCGGCGCAGCGCTCCCACGTGTCGGCGGCCAAGATGGGCGTCGTCGGTCTCGCCCGGGGCCTGGCGTCCGAGTTCGCTCCCAGCAACATCCGGGTCAACGTCGTCTCGCCGGGCCGCATCAACACCAGCCGCGACCTCGCCTGGTATCCCGGCCAGAACATGGTGGACACCTCGGAGATCCCTCTCGGCCGCTTGGGCCACGTCGACGACATCGCCGCCGCCTGCGTGTTCTTTGCCACCGACGATTGCGGTTTCATCACCGGCCAGACCGTCCACGTAAACGGCGGCACCGCGTATTTCTAGGGAACATCGGCCCGCTCCGTTCTCTAAAATGAATCGCCGTTGTCGAGGCTAGTGTTCCGTCAGGGTGGTATGATGGGTATAGGGACTTTAGTCTGATTCGGGAATCCTCGGTGGTGAGTGAACGAGCGCCAGTTCACTCGTATGCCGTCCGGTCTTGCGCGAGGCCTATGCACACGCTGACTGCCTCCCTCCGCAGGGAAGATCCGGTCGGGAATGCGGCTGCGTCGAGGCATTGCCGGGCCACACGCCGGCATTCTCGATCTTGCATGTTCAGCCAAATGCCGTGTGGGTGTTGTAAGTATATCCAGCCCGCTCCGCGATGCGCAGCGCCTCCGCCGGATCAAAGGGGCCTCCGTACAGTTGGAGACGGATGATGCGTTTCAGGTTTTGTCCCTCACCAGCCCACTATCGCTCCTGTCGCTAGTCCTAGTCCACCAGCTTCACGCAACACATCGGCCCAATCTCTCCGGGTGCGGCGATCTGTAACCTCCACCGCCCCGCCATCCCTCCAACTTGGGGGGGGGGCGCGAACAGCATGTTGAAAAGGTGCTCACCACCGTTGAGTTCGTATTCATAGCATTAAGAAGCTGCCGCTCGGGGCGACGGCCCAGCGGGTCTCTTCGACCTGCTGTTTACATGGTCTCGTCAAGAGCACACCAGGACCTCGTTGTCCCGGTAATGGCGGTGTGATAGACCTCCGAGCATCATCCTCACTGGCGCAGACAAACTCAGCACTGCATCGGCGGACGTGCACCAGTGCAGTCTTTCAACCAGGATGAGTTCGTTGTTTTCAGCGTCGGCGCAACGTTTCGGGCTGATGCTGTCCACTATCTCGCATTCATCCGTTAGTTGATCAGCCAGCAGTTGCAGAGGGTCCAGCCGGCGAACGGCCCTCCGGCGGTATGGGAACAGGTCAGGCAATCAGTGAGCCTCCCCCTCACCGGCCAGCTTCCGCCGCAGCCGGTGAGCTGTTGCCTTGCGCCAAGGGGCAGGCCACCCAGACCCTCCTACGCAACGGCGGCGCACCCCGCTCCACCCCCCGTGGCGGTGCCACCGTCAGGGCCTGAGCAATCTCCTCGTCCCTCATGCCGCCGTAGCCTGAATGTTGTCACAAAGCAGCAGGATGCGGGCATGGGTCTGGCTATAGGCTGCCCGCCGTCCTTGGACACCAGCGGCCATCAGCTCCTGTTGTCCTCCCCGCCAGCCCGACCCTGTACATCTTAACCAATCATCCCACCACACGTCCCAAACTTTCCCCTTAGCCACCGGCCTTATGGTACCCCATTACACCATCAGTTCACCGATGCCCTGGCTACTAGTCCATAGGCGGAAATCCTTGAGGTTCGGGGAGATGTTGATTTTCGCATCGGTCAGCTCCTGGATTTCCTCGGGATTCCAGCCGGGGGCATTCTCCAGCACTCGAATCCGTCGGTGGAAATGCCGAACAGGCCTAGATCGGTGACCAGCATCTTCACCACGCCCGGGGCGGTAATAGGGAGCTTGCAGCGCTTGAGCAGGCGCGGTTCGCCCTCCCGGGTGTTGTGCTCCATAGCGATGAACACGCGCTGGGCGCAGGCCGCGAGGTCCATGGCGCCGCCAATGCCTCCCCCCTTGCGGTTCGGGATGCGCCAGTTGGCGAAGTCGCCATTTTCTGCGACCTCGTATGCGCCCATCACGGTTACGTCGATCATGCCCCCACGAATCATCATGAATGAGTCGGCGTGGTGAACGATGCCCATGCCCGGCTGGGGTGTTACGTGCTGTCCACCGGCATTGACCAGGTGGCGGTCCTCTTCACCCTCGGCGGCAAGTGGCCCGAATCCAACGACGCCGTTCTCCGAGTGGTTGATGATCTCCTCGAATGTCGAAACATTACGTTGGAGAAAGCGTAGGCATTTGCCACGCCCAGTTCACGATCCAAACGTCCTGAATCCATGGACAATGGTCGCACATCTGCTGGAGGGTCCGCTTGGTCTTTCGGGCGGTCCGGTCATTTTCGCGATAATACGTCGGGAGGCTCCGCTGCCTTGGGGTCCGCCCACAACCTAACCATCTCCCGGCGGGAGAAGGGATAGTCAGAAATCTACAGCCCCGGCTTGGGCCACGGACAAGACCCAGGAAAAGAGATGCCGTCATCGGGGATCCAATCTTGACTATGCGGTCAACGTAGATGCCCGAGACGTGGACGTGGTCCGGGTCGATCTCCCCGATCTCAACCACATCGTTTTCGACCTCGACGATGGTCATCTTGGCGGCCATTGCCATAATCGGGTTGAAGTTTCGCTGGGACAGCCGGAACTGGAGGTTGCCAAACTTGTCGGCCTTCCAGGCGCGTACCAGAGCATAGTCGGCATGCAGCGGATACTCCAGGCACGTAGGTGCGGCCGTTGATCTCGCGATGTTCCTTGCCCTCGGCCAGCTCGGTGCCCACCGACGTGGGGGTGAAGAACCCGCCGATGCCGGACGGATGCCTTGCGGATGCGCTCGGCCAGGGTTCCTTGCGGCACCAGTTCCGCGTCCACCAGACCCTCGTTGTACATCCGCACAAATGGGGTGACAATAGAGGGAGGCGTGGGGGCAGGTGATGTGAGGTTTGGTGATGAATGGGGCGGTGAAGGGACGCAGAACCATCTTTTGACCTGCCTGCACTCTACCCCCAGGGTGCCGACATTAACGAAGCTCGTCGAGGAGTGGCGATGCTGTTGGAGAAGATGCAGGTTAGCTCCTTCGCGCCCTGCCTGTTTACCGCAGCCAAGAGGTTGCGGGGAGCACCAACGCCTGAGAAACCCGGGCACATAATGGTGGAGCCGTCGGGGATGTCGGCCACCGCTTCGTCCATGGTGGCGTACACCTGGTTTTTCATAGGAGAGCAATCCTCCAGGGTAATTGGGCCGCTTGGTGAATGGGTCAAATACTAGCGCAGAGCGGAGTGTCGCGCCACCGGGGAAGTCGAAAATTCCGGGGCGTCCGGACAGCCATTTGCCGCCCGACGCTGGTAGAGTGCCCAAACATCATCTATGAGGTGTCTGCCCTGCTCGGATTCCGGCATTGCATTACACCTCCCCCTTGATTTTATCACGCCAGCGCCGGAAAGCCGGGATTGGCTAGACTGGGCCCCATGGTCTTTTAGTTGTTCACTCTCTCCTCCTAAGTCCCCTCTCTCCCTGGGAGAGGGTTGGGGTGAGGGCGTCCGTGGGGGGACCTCGCTGGTGAGGGAACATTTGTCGCACCTGGATTCACCCTCACCCTTCCTGAGCTTGCCGTAGGGCCTCTCCCTCAAGGGAGAATGAGAAGGCCCCGGCCCCATCCCCTTGCCACATCACTTGAACATTAGTACTATTGTATAAGTCCCGCCCAAGGGCGGCAGGGCCAATCAAGAACAGCCACTGAGGCGCCGTGAATTTCTATGTCTGGTAACACCAAAGAGGCCCCGCGTACTCTTTCCCCCAGGCGCTCCCACGGCTCATCACAATTCCAACCCACCGCCCAGGAATCGGCGGACATGAACGGAAATGAGCGGAATAAGAAAATTTCTCCATCAAATCCCCTCTACTCCTGAGCCTGTCGAAGGGCGGGAGGGGGTTCGGGAGATGGCCCGGGAGGTTAGGGCGAAACCCACCAGCCAAACCTGGCCCGGCAACTGACCGTTCCTTTAGGAGAAAATTTTCAGCGTGTTCAGCGAAGGAGCCTCCCTCCACCCTCAGATGGAAGCCCTCGAACGCAAATGCGCCAGCCAGCTTGCCGTATACGCCTCCGACCCGTCGTCGACCAAATCGCCGAGCTCTGGAACATCGCTGTCGCCAAAAAACAGCCCAAGCCCGATCTCCTGACCGGCGTCCGCAAGATAGCTGACGCCGGCTTCCGCCTGCCCACCTTCACCGCCCTGCCCACATACTACAAGGACTGCCGAAAATACGGCGACTTCCCCGACGCCAACGAAATCGCGGACAAGCTCTTCCCTCGCGGCCAGAAAGTCGCCCTGTCCGCCGTCCACCCAGGGGTGTTTAGATGCCCTCCCTCAAGAGGCGAGGGAGCAACACACCAGACATGCGGGGATCACCCCTTGACAACCATGGTGTTAGGACGAAAAATCCTAGGAGCAATCGACCCTGACAGGAGCTATCTATGGTTGCAACCAATCATCTCACTTATACCTACATTGGCATGGCCGGCGAGGGAGACTTCATTGGCGAGAGTGGAATTTTCCGGCAGGCCGACGGAGAGGCCGACTGGCAGGACATTTCGGCCGGACTGCCGGGAGAACCTCAGGTACGGGCGCTGTTGCTCAAGCCGGACAACCCTGCCGTGGTGTATGCCGGAACCCAGAACGGGGTATACCGCAGCACTGACCGCGGCGACAGCTGGGTAAGGCTGTCCGACCCGTCACAGGACCGCGAGGTGTGGTCGCTGGCGGCCCACCCGACCGACGCCAACACGATCTTCGTGGGCTACGAACCCTGCTCCATCGCCCGCTCCAGAGACGCCGGTGATACATGGCAGGAAATGGACACCAGCGGGGTAACCTACCCCCACATCACCACCTACATGCCGCCGCTGGGCAAGCGGGTCATCGGCATGGCCATCGACCCGGTTGACCCCAACAACATGTACGCGGCCATCGAGGTGGGCGGGCTGCTGGCCAGCCGGGACGGGGGCGAGACCTGGGCGCAACTCATGGACGGGCCGTATCTCCGCAACAATACCCTGGACCTCCACCAGGTGCAGGTGAGCGCGGCCGACCACGCACGGTCCAGATCGCCACTCAGATTGCCATGTTCCGGGGCCGGAACCAGGGCACTCGCTGGGAGCATGTGCAGGTGCAGGACATGTTCGTCGGCGGTTCCTACTGCCGCGATCTGTCTGTGGGGCGCCCGACGACTGAAACAAACATCTACCTGCTATCCGTGCGCGGGCGGCGGCGCCGCACCTCCTGACACCGTGCCGGAAGGCGCGCTGTTCCGCAGCCGCGACATCGGCGAGAACTGGGAGCGCCTTGACCTGGGCGACGTTCCGCCGGGCCGCATGATGCAGGTTGCCATCGATTCCGCCGTTCCATCCCGCATCAGCTGCGCGTCCTATTCCGGCGAGGTCTACAGCAGCAGCGACAACGGCCAGACTTGGACAAAGGGCATGCTGCCGGTGGAGTCGACCCGCTCCCTGCATATCTATCCCATGGTCTGCGGCTAGGCTATTACCCAAAGGTCGAGATTCTTGGCGCGAGATCCAATTCCCTGGGCCTCGCGCCCCGTTCCCCTGCGTCCATTTCTACGTGGGGGACCGCGCACCCATACCCTTCACTACCATACCTTTACCCGGGCCCGAGCCTATGTCAACCTCTCGTAAGCATTACTAGAGAGCCAACCTATCATTCGCATCACCCAGGACCCCCTGTGGAGGGGACATAGTCCTGAAAAGAATGAGTTTCCCGTCGATTTTCAAGGACACCAGATTGTCCGCGAGGGGGAACTGGACAACGAGCACCTGGCAAGCAACGGCTTCCCCGGCAGTACGGCGGAGCGATTCCGCGAGGCCGGCCGGGTTACAGCGCAGATGCGCGAGTTCGGCCCCACATCGAACATGGCCATGTCCGACGGCTTTGACTTCATGGTCGGCATCGGTAGGGAGCATCAGTGTTGACAGTCGGAGTCGGGTGAGCAGCTGGATGCAGGAAATATTCCTCAAGGACTTTGAGGACCACGTCGGAGACAGCGTTGGACAAGGCCATCAGCTGGTGGCGGCGGCACAACAGCGGAATAACAGCGGATTTTCGACGAGTGCAGTGGCCACCTGCGGTGCGCAGGGCGGCAGCAGCCTGATCTCATCGACGTAAGGTCGTGGACTCCGGCGGGGACGCTCGAAAAACTGGGCGTGGCGTTCGTGGGGACGATCGGCGATCACGGTCGCCCGGAATTGGCGATGCAGATAGACACAGGCCGCATGGAGACGGCGAATGGACGATCGTCGGTGTGGTGCGTGTAGAAACATCCTCACGCAAACACTAAGACCCTTTCTCCATCAATGTCCTGACAGCCAGAAAGGCCGGAGGCGTTCCGGCCTTTCTGGCTGTCAGGATCTCGCTTCTCTTGGGTACTATCAGAGAGGTCTATCCAGTTGCTACAAGCCGGGCCGCCTCGTCGCCCATCTGCGACGTGCTCGGCGTGGCCGCAAGCGCGGCGACTGCCGTTGCGGTAACTACCCGGCGTTCCTCGAGGCAGCGGGCTACAGCGGCGTGGACCCGGCCGGCGCCTTCGGCCTCCCCGAAGTGGTCCAGCATCATGGCCACCGCAGAGACAGTGGCCAACGGGTTGGCGATGCCCTGGCCCATGATGTCGAAGGCCGCACCGTGCACCGGCTCAAACAGCGACGGGTGGACTTTGTCGGGATTATGTTGGCGCTGGGAGCCAGACCCATGCTGCCTGACACCACGGCCGCTATGTCTGACAGGATGTCGGCGAACAGGTTGGAGGCCACCACCACGTCGAAGTCCTCGGGCCAGCGCACGAAGTCCATGCAGGCCCGATCCACCAGTAGCGATTCGGTTTCGACCTGGGGGAATTCGGCGGCGACCTCGTCGAAAACTTCGTCCCAGAAGACCATGCCGAAGGACTGGGCGTTGGACTTGGTAACGGAGGTAACCTTCATCCGCTTATTGCGGCGGACGCAGTGCTCGAAGGCGGCCCGGATGATTCGCTCTGTACCGCGGCGGGTAAAGACGTTGCTCTGAATCACTATTTCGTGGGGCGTTCCGACGTTGAGGCGACCTCCAACGGGGGCATACTCGCCCTCTGTATTCTCGCGGAAGATGACCATGTCGATGTCGCCTGCCTTCTTTCCTGCCAGGGGTGAGGTCACACCGGGATACAGATAGGCCGGGCGCACGCAGATGCCTTGGTCGAAGCCACGGCGCATGGGAAGCAGCAGGCCGTGGAGGGTGATGTGGTCGGGGATGTTCGGATCTCCGACGGCGCCGAACAGGATGGCGTCGAAACCCGACAACAGCTCCAGTCCGTCCTCCGGCATCAGGCGTCCGGTTTCACGGTAGAAGTCGCTGCCCCATGGGAACTCGGTAAACCGGAAGGACGGCCCCCCTGAGGAGGCCAACGCCTCCAGCACCTTGCGACCTTCGGCAATGACCTCGGGTCCCACACCGTCTCCGGGAATTACTGCCAGGTTGTACTCCGCCATAGATTCGCCGTCCTGTAGTTTCTGTTAACCCGTCTTGTCGCCCGTGAGCGGTGCATAAAACACCGGGCCGTGAAGAATGGAGAGTTGTTGGCTCTTCCTCCACCTGCGCCCAATTCAAAAGGCGCGATCGTCAGTTGACGGTCTGCACGCCTCCGCCCAACACCCTGAAGTGATAGACGGTCTCGGCGTCTGGGAAGGCTTGGGTGGCCCTGATGTAAGTAGACTTTCCGCGACGTTGCGTCGCATCCAGCAGCACGCCGGAAACGCCAGCCCCTTGGCCTCCGTTGACACCGACGGCGCCTACCTCGCGGGCGAAGGCTACCAGTTCCTCGAGACGGGGGCGGGACTCGATGCGACTGCCGGCCTCCGCAGCGACCGTAGCTCCTTGACCCACCAGTGCCGGACTCCTTTCCCCGATTCCCCGGCGAATAAGTCCGAGTGCCTTGTCGGTCTGGTCGTTGACCGCCTTCCACCGTGGAGTCGCGTCATCGAGACTCGACCCGGGAGAACCCCCGAAGTCAAGGGCGACGATTTCCATAGGCGAGGTGCGCCAAGTGTCTCGCGCACCATCCCGGCGCGGTGATCGAAAAGCGCCAAGCCCGGCATCATCGCGCCTCCGGAAGGTTCTATAGACAGAGCTATCTGCGCGATGTCATAGGGACTGAGTTCTTCCCCAAGCGCCATGGTGTGGCGGCGATGGCGGCCGACAGGTCGGCGGTGCTGCTGCCCAGGCGTTTGCTGCGCGGAATGGGGCTACTCACGCGAACCTCGGCCCTCACCTTGGCCCGACGCAGGTGGGCCAGTGTCCGGCGTACCGCCGCCACAGTCTTCTCACAGTCCTCGGTAGCGGCAACACCAGGGCCATTCCCGCTCAATTCCACCCTGACGCGGGAGTAGAAGTCGACGGGGCATGTAACCGAGAAAGGCATGTCTCCCAGTACACCCTGAGCCAAAACCCCGCAGACACCGGGGGCCCTTGCCGTGGCTGAACCCAGGATGTCGGTCGGCTCGCTGAAACTGTTGACTTGGCCGTCGCTCAAGGGGCGTTCTCCCTAAGATGCGATTGGGGTCCAGGTTTCGGCACCCCGATTTGGGGCAATTCAGGACAGGTGAGAGCCGTCGTTGAAAAGACGCAGCACCGCGTTGTCGTGATAGGTGTCGACGATGGTCAGCGTGCAGTTGCCGAAGACGAACCGCCAGTTAGCGTCCAGCGGCATGCCCAGCAAGGCCATCATAGCGGCGCGGAGGGAACCGCCGTGGCCCACCACCAGCACCGTGTCGCCAAGGTGCCTTTCCTTTATTTCGTTGATGACGCAGGTCATGCGCTCGCTTACTTCCCGGGTTGATTCGCCTCCATCTGGTGCATAGTCCAGATCCTTGGCAATGTACGTGGGGTATTCCGAAGGAAAGCGGGCCCGGAGTTCTGAATCGGTCAGTCCTTCGAATACGCCCTTATGGTATTCCCGCAGTTGCGCCGTGGGGTGCAGGGGAACATCCCGGCCATCGAGAATAGTGACCGCCGTTTGCGAGGCCCGGCAGAGATCACTGGCGTATGCGGCATCAAAACGAACTGTATCCAAACGCCTTGCGAGTCTGGAGGCCTGCTCCAAGCCCTTCCCGGAAAGAGCCACATCCGTGTGGCCCTGTATACGGCCCTCACGGTTCCAGACGGTTTCACCATGCCTGACTATGAAAATCTGTCCCATTGTTCCCGGTGGCTTGAAAGCCATTCTCAAAGTTGTGCTGTATTTTATCACGCGTTATCACCGGCGGAGGGGAGCACCGCCAGCCAAACCAAGACGATTGCAAAGTCCCAACATGCCTCGCTGAGCGTTAGCGAAGGGTCTCGGCGGCATAGTGAGATTCCTCGCTCCGCACAGAATGATAGGGGGTGACAGCCACTTTGCAATCGTCCTACGGGGTGGACGCAGGGTTTTGGGGTTCTCTCTTGGGGGTGAGGGAACTTTGCCTGGTATGGATACGCCCTCACCTCAACCCTCTCCGGCTGAGAGAGGGATTTCTTTGGCCCTCCCCCTCGAGAGAGAGGGAGAGAATCAACAGGCGGCGGGGGGGACAGCGTACAGGGAGACTTTCTTGCCGGGAGGGAATAGCTTGTCGGCGATCTCCTTGGCGTCGGGGAACTTGCCGTATTTTCGGCAGTCCTTGATGTATGTGTGGAGGGCGGTGAAAGTGGGCAGGCGGAAGCCGGCGTCGACCACCTTGCGGACGCATGTCAGGGGGTCGGGCTTGGGCTGGTTTTTGGCTACGGCGATGTTCCAGAGCTCGGTGATCTGGTCGACGGCGGGTTTGAGGCGGTATATGGCGAGCTGGCGGGCGCATTTGCGCTCGAGGGCTTCGATCTGCGGCGGATGGAGGCGAGGGAGATTCCTTCGCTGAACATTCTTTGACTCCTAAACTATGCGACGTATGCGGCTATTGCCTGGACATGGTTGTGCTGGCGGGATTTCACCCTCACCCCAACCCTCTCCCTCAAGGGAGAGGGAGTTGGATGGTTCTTTCGAGGATTTCGCCCTCACCCTAACGTACGCCCTCACGCCTAACCTCTCCGTAAGGGAGAGTGGATTTGATGGGGAAATTTTGGTTATTCCACTCATTTCCGCTCATTTCCGCTCATTTTCTCATTGGCGGCCAGACTGCCGAGGGCGGGTCCTGGCTCTGATGGTTATAGAACTAATGTACGTACATGGTATACTACCAACGTATCGGGGGGGTTGGCAAGGGGGCGTAGCTGTACCGGGAGGGCGATTGGAAAGCCCTAATACGCCATTCTTCGCTTACGCTCGGGGTCTCGGCGGCATAGTTGAGATTCTTCGCTCCGCTGGGAATGACAGGAATGACGGCAACTTTGCAATCGTCCTGGTCAAGCAGACGGGGCCAAGATTTCGAGTCTCGAATGCTCAAAATTATAAAGTGGACAGCGAAAAACTGACCCTTCCAGAGAAGTAAACCTGCTCCAGACACAAATTCAGAGGTGGCTAAAATTCGTGCCTACTTTATGTTGACACGCTTGCAGCTACTTCCTACAATATTTAGACATTGCAGCTTAATGTAATTGTGCTGCCCAACATCATCTGTGAGGTGAGACAATGCCTCCACGAAATTCCCAAGCCAAGAAAACCGACGCGGCGGAGGCCCCTATGCCTGTACTGACAGCTTACTGCACAAAACTGCGCAAAAAGGTGGAAATGGACCAGATCGAGTTGGTGACCATGAAGAATGGGCGCCCAGCTGCGAAGGGTGTGGCCAAAGAAGACCCGAGCCTGTCCGTTTTCCGGATTTTGAGCAAGGCCGAGGCCGAGGAACTGGCCAAGGTCCTGGCTTAGGGAAACGATCCATTTCGACCATCAGGTAGCGTTTTACCACACGATCTGGCCATTCCAGAGTTGGTAGTACCAAGCTGGTGGGTTAGCTCGAAATTGTTTGTGTTAGTCCGTCTGCTGGCAAATAGCTGGATGTTGCGGATGGCGCCAAATGGTCAAATTGGCTTCAACGGCCGGAGGTCCCTCCCCTTCGGCCGTTACGCTTGACTTCAAATCGGGGACACCCGGGACTTGACCGCAGACAGTCGCTGTGATTGACTACTGCGGGCCCGATTTCCGGGCAACGAAACACAGCCGGAATTGGCGAGCCAGCAAGCCACCAAACCGGTTGAATTACTATGTCGACGTTCTGTATGATAGTCCGGGTAATTTGGGGCACTGCGGGCGCCGCGCTGCAACTGCCCAAATGAGGGTTTTGGACTCGCGGACTCTGAGTTGTGTGTCCTGGCCGGTTATGAGCGCACCGGCCCTGAGATGACAACATCTTTTTGGGAGCCTTGTAGATGAGCTTGATTCAACGCAACGTTATCTCACTGTTGGTTCTGCTTGCCGTGGTCGGCGCGGGCGTTGGGATACTGACGGTCAGCAGCCCTTTTGCCTCCGGTCAAGAGACTGAAAGCTGCGACCCGGGCGTCGGCATCAGCATCGCCACTACCAATGCGTCTGGCCAGACCGTTGCCGTGGTGAACCATGGGGACGATGTTTACTACTCAGTCAAGCTCTTCAAAGAGGAGAGCCTTTGTGATTTCGGTGGCGGAACCCTGACGGTAACCCTGCCAGGTGCCACCGACGACTATCCGGATGGTACAGTTGAAATACCCGTCTCCAATACCGATGGGGCCGGGAATGTCACGGACAGCATCATAACCCTCGGAGATTCATACAACAGCGATCGACTCCAATACACTGTTAACCAGAATGACGGCATCCAGGGCAACGCAGATGACCAAGGAAGCGTTGAACTGACGGTGCGTGCGGTCTACAGCGGCGGTCGCTCTTCGGACTCGGATGGCAACCAGCTTCCCAACGAAGTGGACGCCACCGCCACCAGCATAGTTCGCATAGGGGCCCCCTCGGTGGAGATCGACATTTCGCCGAGCGTCGAGGACCTGAACAACCCTGATACGCAGTCCGTGCTCCAGGGCCAGACTGCCTACTTCGATGTGGTCATCACCAACACCGGCGGCTTCGAGTTGTCAAACATCTCAGTAGCATCCTTGGAGGACGCTGAGGCCGGCGAGGTGCAGATCGCGGATTGCGAAAGGGCCGCCGACGCATTTGGCGCCTTGGCCGTCGGTGCCTCCACCACTGTCTACCAGTGCGGCAGCACGACTGAAGCCACATTCGTGCTGAGGGCCGAGGTAACCGCCTCCGGCACGGCTCAATCCACCGCCGGTGAAGCCGCCTCACTTGTGGTAACCAACGACGACACCACTACTGTCATCTTTGGCACTGTGGAAGTTGGCATCACCATAGCGGCCCAGCGAGACCCGGTTCGATACTCGGACGACCCCGAGGCCCGAGAGGGGACCTTTACCATATTAGGTATCACCCCTACCGCCACGGACTTGGAGGGTGTCTCGGTTAGCGTAACTGTCACCGGTCCGGAAGGGGCACCCGCCGCTGCCGACGACTGTTCTCGTGAATATGCAACGGTTG